TACGAGTTCATCCCCTTCCACCCTCCAGCCAGAGACGGTACCAGCCAGTTTTGGAATTAAAACATGTTCTGCAAAGTCCCTTTCAGGGCTGCACACAGGAAGCTGGTAGTCATTGCACTCAATGTGTTCTTCCAGTTGGAGTAATGCAATGTTGTTCTCGCCGCTGTCTTCATCATACCGGATGTGGATGTGTTTCTCTCTGACTTGCATCTTCTTAGTTCCACTTGTCCCACTAGACCCTGTGAAGCAATGACATTTCAGTGCTCTTGGGATGAATTTCTCAGGCCTCAAAGCTGCATGCAAACTCACAACTGCCTGGTCATGCTAAGAAACATGTGCAGCAGAGGAACTAAAAGTGCTCTTCCTGGAAACCACTGCAGCAAAGTGAAACTGGGAATGGTGCACTGACAGTCACCCTCAGTAGGTTTGCAGAGGACACTAAGTCAGGAGGGACTGTGGATCTGCCTGAGGGGAGGAAGGCTCCACAGAGAGACCTGGAGTGACTGGATGAGTGGCTGAGGGCAACTGCATGAGGGTCAGTAAGGCTCAGTGCTGGTCCTGCCCTTGGCACACAACAGCCCATGCAGCTCCATGCTGGAGGAGGACTTGGGACAGAGGTGTTGAGCACAGAGGGACTTGTCAGTGCTGGTGGCACAGCTCAGTGGGAGCCAAGAGTGTGCACAGGTGGCCAAGGAGGCCAAGGGCATCTTGGCCTGGCTGCAGCAGAGTGTGGCAGCAGCACTAGGGCAGTGCTCATCCCCCTGCACTGGGCACTGGGGAGGTCCCAGCTCAGTGCTGTGCTCAGCTTTGGGTACTCACTGCCCAAAGGCCATTGAGGCACTGGAGCAAGTCCAGCCAAGGGCAACGAGGGCAGCAAAGGGCTGGAAAACCTGTGGGATGAGGAAGGGCTGAGGGAGTTTGGTCTGTTTAGCCTGGAGAAGAGGCTCAGGGATGACCTCCTGGCTCTCTGCAACTCCCTGAGAGGGCTGGAGAGAGGTGAGGGATGTGTGTCCTGCCATGGCTGCAGGGAGAGGAGTAGAGGGAATGGCCTTGAGCTGAGCCAGGGCAGAGTCAGATTGGATGTGAGGAGAAATGTTTTCCCTGTGAGGGTGTTGAGGCACTGGGATATTGCCCAGGGAGGTGGTGGAGTCACCATCCCTGGAAGTGTTGAAGGAGGATCTGGTTTAGGGTTTAGGGGTTCTAGCAGTGACAGGTTAATGTTTGGACTCGATGATCTCAGAGGTCTCCTCCAACCTTGATGATTCTGTAATCTATGTCAGCTTGTTAATGCTGGGTAGAAACATGCCTAACTTCTCTAAGTGGGAAGGACAAATACCTAAGTGAATTCGGAGATTAAATGAAAACCACCTCTAAATCCACCACATTTTGCTACTCGCTACTAAGTTCTGAACTGTGTTTGAGAGCTCTGCTTGGCTTGCAGGGTGATATGGGTGGGCTGTAGGTCTAGCTCAAACCTTGTCTGAGGCGCTTAAATGAAATGGCAGCATGTCTGTTTGCTTTAACAATATTTTTAAGCAGCAAAAAATAAGCTTTTTTTCAGTTTTGATAGTCAATACTACAATGTGCTGCAAGAAGAGGTGTGTTGGATCACTTACCAGCACCAACCCTGACTTCCAGCTCGCTGTGCAGCAGGGCACACTCTGCTGTGGTCAGTACAAAGTTAGTATTTAGCAACACTCCTCCACAGAAACTTTTCCCTTCAGAGTTTAGCAGTAGGACCTAAGAAGAGGCAAAAAGGCAATAGAAAGCACTGTCCAGGTGAGGGTGAGCAATGGGTTTCATGAATTGCTAGAAATACCTGCCAAGGAAATGGCTCATCATGTTCCTTCCTGCTTTCTCTTGTCAGATTACCATTGGCTTGAAGTCTGCCACAGGCACATTGATCTAGCAAATGAATGAAAAAAGAATCAAATCCTCAAATTTCAAGACAGTTAATACCTGCAAATGCCTTGTTGCTTCCACCTTTGGGGTTTTGTTTTGGCACAAAGGAAAAGGACAATGACATTTCTCAATTACAACCCAGAAAGCCAATGGAATCCTGCGCTGCATCCAAAGAAGTGTGGGCAGCAGGTCAGAAGAGGTGATTCTTCCCCTCTGCTTTGCTTTGGTGAGACCCAGCTGGAATACTGCACACAGTTCTGGTGTCCTCAGCATAAGAGGGACATGGAACTGATGGAGCAAGTGCAGAGGAGGCCATGAAGTTGGTAAGGGGATTGGAGCATCTCCCCTATGAGGACAGGCTGAGGGAGTTGTGGCTGTTCAGCCTGGAGAAGAGAAGGTTGTGTGGAGACCTCAGAGCACGTTCCAGGAGCTGAAGGGGCTCCAGGGAAGCTGCAGAGGGACTCTGTGTTAGGAGCTGCAGGGACAGGACAAGGGGCAATGGGCACAAATTGAAGGAGGGGAAATTTAGGTTAGATTTTAAGAAGAAATCTTTTCTTGTGAGGGTGGTGAGACACTGGCCCAGGTTGCCCAGGGAGGCTGTGACTGCCCCAACCCTGGCAGTGTTCACAGCCAGGTTGGATGAAGCTTTGAGCAACCTGGTGTGGTGGGAGGTATCCCTGCCCAGGGCAGGGGGTTGGGGCTGGATGATCTCTAAGGTCCATTCCCACCCCTAAAATTCTATGATTCTCAACTGGTGAAAACTGAAGTAATTTGCTCGGCATTTGTAGTCTAATAGTTTAGGAATGGGCTGAATATTTTGGTTATTGCATTAGGCCCGGAGTGAGCAGATTTCAGGGTGCCCATAACTAATGAAACAAGGTTTCCTCTCCAGCCAGCCATCAGCACAACTTCCTTTCTCATTTGTGATCCTGTATCTGAATTATGCCTAATACCTGGCAGCTGTGGCTCGGTCTGGACAAGGTAAATCCTGGGTTTTCACTGTTCAAGCTGTCACTCTGGGGATGTGCACACCTTTCTTCTCTGGTTCGAGCACCATGTGCTTTTCAAGTGGATCCCCTGGTTATCTACATTTATCACACTCTCAGTTCACCTCGTGGCTTGGTTTTGGGTCACAAAGACTGGATTCTGTGTGGATTCTGTCCACCTTCCCATAGCTAACAGGTGCTTGCTTAGCCCACAGGATCACATTAAAGCTGGGCTGATGTAGAACCCAGCTTGCACTGAGTGTGGACATCAGGCTTCCATCACCAAAAGCATAGCTGTGCAGCTCAACTCCCCTTTGGCTCTCCCACCTGCTAATGCAGACACAGGTCTAAGTGTATCTGCTTTTGGTAGACCAAGTTTAAAGGAGATGAGACTGAATGAGATCCCTGGTAGGAGATTGCAAAAAATGAAGAGGCCTATTGCTTCGAACTAGTGGCAAATGTTGC